CTTGGGCATATAATGCATGTCAATATAGGCCGAAAATACATATTTTTATTTCTCTTCATACTCTCTGTTTGAGTATGTGGAGAACTGTTAAAAATGTTAACATTTCACATCGTGAATTCTATGGTTGTGAGGTGAATTCCCTATCACAATCTTATAAAATGTTCGACATCGAACCTGCACCTTCTCTATGTTTTAAGTTCTCTGGGCTATGTCGTTAACTCCCCTCCTTTTTAAAAACGTCCTCGCTATGCTGCTACAAATTGTTGTTGTTGAAGACGTTTCATTTCGACTTCGTATAACTCGTCAATTTGCCTTTGTCTGTGAAGCATTCTTCTGTTTACGTTATATCGGCAGAGGTCTACCATACCGTAAGTGGTAACTACTAAAGTAAGGAATCCCATTATGATGAAGAACGTAAAATGTACTGGATTTTCTTCAATAGGTATCAAAAGTGTTGAAATTTTCTGTATTACTGAACTTGTAATTTGATTTCGAGGAAAGAATGCGGAGTACTTCAAGTTTTTCGCTGTGCTGGTTGTGTATGATTTTTCTGAGTTGTTGTTGATGGTTGTAATATGTAATGCCATCTATGTTTGCGGATTCTGAAAAATGAATTAATTTAGGGCCAGATATAGGCATATTATTCCAAGAATGCTCATAATCTGTCAAGATGTGACCGTTTTCTAAAATTTGAGTTGGAGCGTTATTTTCATGAATTGTTTCGCATTGTGGTGATTTATCGTTTAAAATTTTTGTAGTACAATTACACTGTCCAACAGTATTTTTGGAACAGAATATTGATCCTATAATTATGAAAGGGTATGTTGAGTAGATCATTTTTGTACAACAAACTTATGGTCCAGCACGTCTGAGTTTTTTTTTACAGTGGGTCAAAGTTTTCATTTTTTGGTCGAAGGGAGCATTATACTATATAAAAAAAATGTTGCGAGTTAATGTCTGAGAGAATTCTTATGGTCAGAGTTGTATTGTGGAATTGTATGAGGATTATTTTTCTGGTTTCTTTATGGGTCAATTTGACCTTTTTTCGAGAAAATCAAAAAATATCCTTTAAAAAAGGACATTTAAGGATTAAAATATTCTACGAAAATGTTTGGCGGAAAATTTCAGTGGGGGTCACCAAAGACACCATTGTTGTAAATTTTCTGCTCTTTACGATTGTTAAAAAAAATTATAATTTTGTTTTAATAGTGGTTTATTATAGTATGTACATATTTATTGTTTTGCTTCAGCAGTAGTAGGACAATGGATTAAAGATTAAACTTAATATGCTTTCCTGTATTTAGCTTGACGTGAATGTTCCGATGTGTCAAGGTTTCTGTATAAGCCCCATACGTATTCAGCAAGCACTACACTTTGGGATTTCCCTTTGAATCTTTCTTCCAATACCTTTATATTCTGATTCAACCTTTCAAGGTTTTCTTTAAAAAAATTGAGATGAGAGTGTAGAAAATGCAGCTTTAGTGACATCTTAACGACAATATTGTTACAACCGATTAGTATGCCTTCAATATTTTCTGCATAGTTTTATGCTTTTGAGTTTCCAAGGAATTCTGATATAACCAGCTGCATAAAGTCAAATGCTGTCTTTTGCATATCCGACAGATGACCATAAAATTCTTCATCTTGTAATAATTTTCTTATATCGGGTCCAACGAGCATTCCTAGAAGAGGTAGTTTACATTAAATGAAATAAATTATTTCTTAAAACCGTATTTTACCTTCTTTTAATTTTGCTGCAGATAATCTGTGGAAAATTGTTTGAATGCGTTTGAAAGCATATCCTTGTGTATTTAAGCTTTTAATACAATTTTTCACCACGCCCAACATAATATGCAGCGGAATGTGACCATATCTTTTGGGACAAGAGATTCATGGTTTATATTTAAGTCACCAATAATATTTTCTTTACGTTCTTCGAAATATTTAATATGATAATGGCTGCTGGTAGCACGTGAATCCCATTTACAAAGAAAGCACATATGTTTTGTGTATCCGGTTTGCATTCCAGTCAATATTGCAATCATTTTGAAGTCTGCCAATACTTCCCATTTATATTTATAGTATTCAATTTTATTTAAGAGATTTGAAATATTTGCGTATGTTTCCTCCTTTTTTGTGGAATACGCAAACGGTATTGATGGATGCTGATATCCATTGTGCAGTAAAACTGCTTTTAAGCCGTGTTTTGAACTATCTATAAATAGTCGCCAAGCGGAAGAGTTCAGTGGAAGCTTTAGATATTTTAGAATCTCTTCAATACGGCACAGTATACAAGTTCTTCGGATTTTTATACTCTCGCAACAAAGTTGCTAAAGAGAGTATTATAGCTTTGTTCACATAACGGTTGTTTGTAAGTCCTAAGACTAAAAGAGTCAGATATAGGGTTATATATATACCAAAGTGATCAAGGTGACGAGTAGAGTTGAAATCCGGATGTCTGTCTGTCCGTCCGTCCGTCTGTCCGTCTGTCCGTCCGTCCGTGCAAGCTGTAACTTGAGTAAAAATGGAGATATCATGATGAAACTTAGTACACGTATTTCTTGGCTCCAT